TCTCCCTCTCCCTCTCCCTCTCCCTCTCCCTCAGCTTTTGCAGAATGGCACAATGAGAAACAATACCACACAGACTAGCTTTCAAGAAAAGACACTGAGTGGTAAGTTCTTTTGATGTGTTTCCTCACAGAAATACAAATGTGAGGCTTTGCTATGGAGTAAGTGGGGGGCTGTTGTAAAGGGCAAGTATATCTCTGGTTTTGGACCTCCAAATACTTTGAATATATACAAGAACCCAGGCTACAAACCTCATATTAAATTATGAAGCACACATGTTAAACATACGTTAGAGGGGAAACTTGGGGACCAATTTTAATAATATTTAAACAGATTTGTCACTGCTGATTTTCAAGCCTGTTTAGCACCCACAATTCAAGTGTTAGGGTGTGTGACGAGCCAGCATGGCCATGGGTGAACCTGGGAGGGGATGGTGAAGGATGGAGAAGACAGACAGAATAAAGCTGGGGCTAGGTGGGACGCTGCTTCTCTGATGCAGAGACAGCGCCACAGCTTGCAGGCCGAGTCTTTATTTTATAGCCAGATTCCATGAGGCAAAGGGCATGGTTCTCACGGGTTTCGAATCTGCTCAATTACATGCACCTGATCAAGCTTTGTTTACTTGCTACACCTTCCGCGGCCCATATCCCTTAGCCACGTGGGACCACAGATTCGGACCATAAGGTCAAGCTTACAACTATAGCTCATTAGTCCGAGGCTTGAACCTGTACAAACACTGTAGCCGCTCTCCACAAGGGTGAGTGTATGAGAGACCACTCAGCATGATGTCCTGGGAGGGGTGTTGGCATGCATAGGATCTCACTTCCCTGAATCTCCACTTTTAGTCCCTGAAGCAAAACAGGTTTCCACAGGCCTTGGGCTTCCTGGGACATGTGGGAGAAGTCCCCATTTTATGAAGGTGTTTCAGGATCAAACTATGTAGGTCCATCATAGCTCTGAAATGCTGGAGCTCTATCAGCTGATGCCAGCTGACAGGGGAGAGCTTGTACAATGCAATGAAGAGAATAAGATGCTTGATCCATAAAGAGAGTTTCAGCGCTGCTCTAAGAGTAATGTTCAGTTTCCAAATATGGCTGGTGTCCTATACTGTAAAGATATTACTCGGACAACTTGTTGCAAGGGGGTACAGGGTGTTGAATAAATGCTGCCTACTTACACCACAGTTCAAAGACTGGTGAGATGGTGCCCTATTTTGACAGCACAAGTTTATATTACTCTCAGGGAAGAGATGAAGCACACCCACAGATTAATTATGAGCATTTGGTAGGTACTAAAAACATACTTTTGATCTGGAAAAGATCACATTGTATTCACTGTGATGGACATGTTTTTTCGCCCTGCTCTCAAGGAGGGGTGGAAAGCTAGTATTTGCGCTCTATTGCACCCGGGCTAAGATCAGCTAACCCACCCCTCTAAGCATACAAAGCCGTAACAGAGACTTGGTGTTCTGTAGGACACCGTATGAGTAAATGCGGTTTACAAAAATAAAGTTCTGAGGTTTGTGAAGTTGGCATTTCAAAGGCATTCCCCTCAGCTTTTTGGTGATGATGTTCACCACCTCCACAGTGAGCAGGAGGCACTAGTTTCCCAGCTGGGGTGAGGTTATCAGGCAGTAACACAATGTATTTTTTTTTTAATATATTTTATTGCTTTTTCACAGAGAGGAAGGGAGAGGGATAGAGAGCCAGAAACATCAATGAGAGAGAAACATTGATCAGCTGCCTCCTGCACACCTCCTACTGGGGATGTGCCTGCAACCAAGGTACATGCCCTTGACCGGAATCAAACCTGGGACCCTTGAGTCCGCAAGCTGACGCTCTATCCACTGAGCCAAACCAGCCAGGGCCACAATATATTAAGGATCGTTGTTTACGT